CCTAATACACACTCCATGATTTTCAAAATCATAGAGACAGAGAGAATGCCTGGGATCTGTTGTCTTGTCTGTTTAACAGTCTGCACATGAGGCTCACATATTACACAATCGTTCACCCAGAGTGTTCCCTGACAAAGAGCACCTGATCCCAGAAATAAGCAAGACAACTGTTTTGACATGATTTGGCAAAAAAAACTGAGCATCTTTCTGTAGTTGTTGTTTCTACATGCTTTTGGATTGTGAAGAACCGTGAAATAATAGAACCTAAAAAAAGTTTTGTGGAAAGATTTTTTTTTTTTTTTTTTTTTTTTTTTGTATTTTAGATCTCAAAACCAAATGTGCATTCATGTTCTTGGCAGAGCACTCTCAGCCATCCTTCTATGTCCTGGGTGCACAAAGAACATGGAGTTCTCCTGATTTCTCTTCTGATTGTTCCTGCGTCCACTTCCAAGACTTTCCTCTTGCACTCTTATTAACTGTTGTTATACCACAGCACGGCTGACATTTTTGTCTTGTTAACTTAAATGTAGAGAAAAAAATTAGCCTGGTGTGGGAATGGCTGTTTATAGCTGCTACCATTTTACAAGGAACTAGCTTGTTTCATGGACGTTCCATAACATTATAAATAACTATAAATGGATAAAAGAAAGACAGGTCATTTATTTATTCATCTATTTATGGGTGAGTGGTGGGTGTCGGACGTCGGACGTTGTGTGTATGTGTGTGTGATTCAGTTGCGTGTGTTTGTGAGCATTATGCTTGAGATGTGTGGTATGTATGTGTAGGTATGTCTATGTGGTTTGTCTGTAGGGATTGTATTGTTAGCTATTTCAGGGTGTTTATACTTAAAAATAGAGTTAAATTTGGTGGTTTTATTTTTTTGACTGGGGCAGAGAGTTTTTCCCGAGTTATGTAGTTGATTATTAGGTTTTTCCAATGTGTGATATTAATGTTATTCTTTGATTTCCAATTTGTTAGTATGGTTTTCTTGGCGATGGTTAGCGCTGTGAGAAGAACTATCGTGTTTTCCTTTGTGATGTTGATCCCAGATGTATCTCAGAGTAAGCAGAGTGAAGGGGAGAGTGGGATGCTGCGATTTAGAAAACGAGATATTTCCTTAGTGATTTGTTTCCAAAAGCTTCCAAAAAACTGATGTGCAGTCCCATATGGCATGTACGTAATTGTCTGGTGTATTTTGTGTGCACAGTGTGCAGATGTCGGATTCCCTGTAGCCCATTCTATACATCCTACGGCCTGTGTAGCAAGTTCTATGGATTATTTTGCACTGTGTCGTGTGCAGGGTAGTGCTATTAGCCATGAAGGACATATTCCGTAAGACTTGTGGCCAAAGATCTTCTTTGAGTGTGATTGCTTGCCTTTTTTACATGGTACGGTAATTGTATATTTGGATATTATTTTATAAATTTTTGGTAAGGACTTTAGTTGGTTGTAAGATATTCAGAAGTTCTGATACTAATGGGGGAAGGTCTAATGTGTTGTCTTGTAGGTTAGTTTTAAAGCATACCTTTGGATGGATCTGAGTTGTAGGAATTCAAAGAAATGTTTATTGTGTGTTTGGTTCATTGGAGTGGTGAGTTTATAGATTTATAAAAATTTCCACCAAGCTGTTAAAGTCACTGCAGTTGTTGGCTTTTGAAGCAGGGGTGGCATTTGATAGCTGTGCTGATGAATGGTAGATCCAAGAGTCTGATTTCTTTGCATAGTGTCTGTTCGGCTTTTAGCCATATGTCATTTGTCTGATTGGGTTTTATCCATTTGATTATATATTGGAGTTGGGTAGTGAGGTAATGTTGTTGAAAGTTTGAGGCATCGAGTCCTCCATGATATCTGGGCCTTTGTCAGATGGTTAATTTGATTCTGGGAGGTTTGTTTTTCCAATAAAATTTAGTGACATTGGAATTGAGTGATTTGGATGAGGAAGGGGGAGGTTGAGCAGAGATAATTGAAAATAAGTCATTTATTTTAGGTAGTATCATCATTTTTATGGATGCTGTTCTGCAAATGAGAAAGAGGGGAAGGTTTATCCAGAGTTGGAGATCATTATTTATGGTGCTCAATAATGGGTTAAAAGAACTTGGCGGAGATTTTGACACCAAGATAAGTGATGCAGTCTGTGCATATGGGGATAGGTAGAGATTGTTGAGAGGGAGCATAGTGGATTTGGTCCAGTCAGTTGAGTAATTGGAAAGTTTGGAATATTTTTCAATTGTGTGGATAGTTTCTTGTATTGAATCTACAAAAAAAGATGTGTCATTTAAAAAAAAAAAAAAAATGAAATGTTTAATTATTGGCATTCATATCTGGGCCGCATCACATCGCCTTGTTGCTGATTATTTTCCTATAATGTTGTATTTTATTCCTCACTTGTAACTGTTCTTATGCTGATGCTGATACATAATCTGATATGGCTCGGTTGCCACGAGCAGCTTCGTACTCAGGACTCAGTGGACAGTGGATAGATTTTAACGAACCGGACTTCTTGCGGAAACTGTGATGAATTTATTGGTTGCACAATTGCACTATTTGTCCTTATAGTACACGATAACAGAAGGGATTTATTTATAGTCGCACTATCCGTTGCACCCAGATGAGGATGGGTTCCCTTTTGAGTCTGGTTCCTCTCAAGGTTTCTTCCTCATGTTGTCTCAGGGAGTTTTTCCTCGCCACCGTCGCCACCGTCGCCACTGGCTCGCTCATTAGGGATACATTCACGGTGATAAATTCAAATATTTACAATATATTTTTTGTGAATCCATTTATTTCTGTAAAGCTGCTTTGTGACAATGTCCATTGTTAAAAGCGCTATACAAATAAAATTGAATTGAACTGATACCTATATACTGTAAGTAGCCTCTCTAAAATGGCATATTATCATGAATCAGACAGATGCGGAGAAACTAGTTGATGCTTCCCAAACCTCTGGATGCTGTCTCTTTTAGTGAGCTAGTTCAGAATGTGGGAGCTTGCATTCCTATCAGGAAATGTAGATCAGAGCACATATCAGTCTTATTGAATCTGCTGCCTGTTGATCTCTTGAAGCAGTATATCCCATCCGAGCACTTTGCTCAGCTGAGACGGGTCTACTGCTGATGCCAAAGATGGCACTATGTCGCAAATCTTGAAGGAGGGGTTGTGACAAACACAAAAATGTTACTGGCAACAGGAAGTGGGTAATTTCATGTAGTGTGCACTTGAGGGAAGTGAAGGGCATCTTACCTCCACTGAGATGGCTGAGGCAGGCACCGCAGTGTACTGGGGAATGTAGGTTCCCTGCATAGGAGCCGCAGCAGCTGCCGCTGTCATGTACTGCAAACAGAGTAAGAACAGCCACTGTGGTCAGACTCTGGTCAGAACAGTTTATTGGATAGTTTACCAGATTGAGAGGGCTGCTCACAGTGCCAGTGGTGCCGAGGGACAGATGGTTCATCTGCTGGGTGAGGGGCCCCATCATGTTGGCTGGCTGCATGGATATGGTGTGGTCCATGGCTGGCGTAATCACAGCACCCTGTGGGTGGGCACAAACACACACACACACACACACACGAAAAAAAAAAAAATCACAGGTCAGAACTCATGGATGAGGAAATTACTACCTATTCAGTTCCATGTCTGGATAACCTTCTTCACAAAGTTAATGCCCTTAGAATGCAACGCATACGCGATCTCATTCACATTCACAAATCTCTCTCTCTCTCTCTCTCTCTCTCTCTCTCTCTCTCTGTCATACAATGGAATGATCCGAATCACTCCAGCTGGGCCCTATTATGGGGGCCAGACATGTGTTGTTCCACTTCAACAAATGAAATAATGTGATCCAAATGTGCGTCACGCATACTTCTGCAGAGATGATGCATTGCTCACTTAGAGCTGGGACTCGCACACACTGAGGCTGTGTTTACGTTTCAACCACGCTGCTTCATGAGTGTTAACACATGTGAGGGAAAAGAGGGCGCAAGCTCCTGCCATTCTTAAGCGTTCATCTAAGATCTCAACTGCGTTCCATTGCGTGAGTGAACATCATGTGTAGCAGTGCAACGCACACTCATGTCTTGATTACGATTAATAAGTCCAAAGGGATTCTCGGTCAGGTAGTTTGTCAAAAAGTAGTTCTTTCCTGAAGTTTGTCCAGGTTCAGATCGTGTCTGGAGTAACCACAGTGCTGACTAAAGCTTGTGCTATTAGGCGTTTTGGAGTGGGCCTGCTCTGTATCTGATCAAATAGTTTCATCGTGTGTGCTACCCAGGTTGTCCTCCAGGACTTATTAAGAGTTTACATTGTGTAGCTTGAGTACAGTAGGCGTACATTATTTAGAACCGAATTATTTGGATAAATAAAACTAAATAAAATCAATATGCCAATGGAGCACAAATGTGATCTTCTTGTTACTGAGTCGCTGGCTATGTTTACATACACATCATTATTCAAATTTTTAATCGGAATTTGGCGATATTATAATTAGGATCGTCATGTAAACACCGCAATCAGATCACCCCATTCAGATTAAGACAATATTCTGATTCTCCAAATTCCGATTCCCACCTGTGGAATATGCCTGTTGTAAACACCTTATTCAGAAAATCCTCTGAAAGGAGATAAATGCGCATGCCCAGTCCACAAGGAATTGTGGGTGCTAACAGATGCTTAGCTGTAGGCTAGGTATTTAGGAATGGCAAGTCAGGCATACTTACAACATCCATGCATACAGGAATATTCCGATGCCTGTATGCGTATAAACATCGTATTCGGAGTATGGCTGCAACCCAAATATAGACCTAAAACGGAATTTGATGTGCATGCAAACCTAGCCATTGAGTCAGAAATGAATGGTTTTGGCGTAAAGCCATTAACTCTTTTTTTCCGCTTTATTTTTGATTCTGGCACAAATTTTTCACCAGATGCCCCTCTTGCCTCAACCTTCCATATTTTCCAGGCTTGGGACCAGCACTGAGCTCATGCAACCCTCCAGTGGATGGGGTCAGTTCCCTGACCAGGAATCGAACCCAGGCCATGGCAGTGAGAGCATTGCATGCTAGCCACTAGTCCACCAGGGAACCTGGAGATACTGGAAACTTATTAAGAAAGAATTTGTACATGAGAATATAATACTTCCCATATCTGCAACCTGATATCGATGACAGGAATGAACCGTCACCACATCACGGAAAAGAAAAGAAGAGTATAAGCAGCATGGTTGCCATTTGAGTTCATCTTTATTCATGCAGAAACATAAAAGAGCCTCTTATTTCTTCATTCGCTTGCTCACATGTTGCCTCAGGGCAAAATGAGGTCATATACTACCTTACAATCTGCTATCACCATTTACTGTAAAGCAGGATTGGCCCCCAGTTGACCCCAGGCAACATTTATACAAACCTCTATGCTACTTAACACATACATTTTAATGGCCAGATATTTGGAGGATTGTCACTTACATGCTGTATGATAGTGCCTGCTGTTGCTACCTGTGATTAGTTTATTCTGACATTCTGTAATCTAGGACTAATTTCTTATAACATGGGAAGATTGCACGGATCTTCAAAAAGGTTCCATCTAGCGCCTTAAAGGGTTCTTTGGTTCTCTGAAGCATGCTATAACGGAGTCTCTTTCACAAAACCCCTTTACACAGTTAGAACCATAAACCATCCAAGAAATCATTAAATAACCGTTTTTATCTCTCTCTAAAATGTACGGCTTGCAGATGCATATATGGATTAGAATTGAGTCAAAGACAAAAACACTCTTTGTGTCTGACGGCTGTTCGTTTGACAGAAAATTATTAATATAAGTAACTTATATTCTTCTACTCATACAGTGTTTACAGGAAAAAAAAAATACACGTTACAGCTACAAAAGCTCAGAATAACAGTCATTCAGAATAGCAGTCTGTATACAATTCTAACATTGAATGTTTCTGAAAACCTAATTCATTGATTAATTGATTCATCTTCCGTAACCGTCAAGGAGGCAGAGTACACTCTGGATGTACAAATTATTCCCTGCCGCTGCTTTTTAGGGATTTTATTTTATTTTCTTGTTTTACTTGCTGTTTTAAAAACCCTCTCCATTTCGACCCAACTAAAACCTCGCTGTCCTCCTTGTACCTCCTTGCTCTGTGCTGTACAACACATGCATGTCTGTATATGACAGACTATGTGTATGAACCATGCCATACTGACTAATAAGTCAGGACCATTGTGCAACTGTAATGCGAAGCTAAAAGTCACATCTTAACGATTAGGCGGCTACAAACCAATATTTCACACAAATAATCTAATGTGGCTGACATTGAGCAGGGAGCGGTTGGCAGAATCTTGTTTATTCAATGCAATTAGCTCCTACAGACTTTCTTGGAGCATTTAGCAGCAGTATTATTTTTGAGTTGAGTGTTACTTTTTCACACACACAAAAATACACGGGCTTTCTCTCGCACAGACACACATGCACACTCAAAGTGCACTCAGACTCTGTGTCTATCTTTGTATGAGTGCAGCTCAGCAGTGCTTGTACTGTCAGTAAGTCTGTTTAAAGAATAAACCGTACAGACACTCGGCGTCAGAGGAGCTCTGTCTTTATCATATCCGTGAGCGCTAAACTGCTGGATCTGTTCCTCTCATCTCTGCTACGCCCAGGGCCTCCAGCTACGAGCTCCCCCACCTCCAGCACACTCCCATAATGAGAGGAGGAAAAAAATGATTGCTGCTGAATAATTCTCCACTCTCATTTACAGTCGTATCGGTGAGAGACACAGACAGATGATTAAGCTCTGTATGTGTTGTGCCTGTGTGTGTGTGAATGTGTGTGTGTGAATGTGTGTGTGTGTGTGTGTGTGTGTGTGAATTAATACATTTTCCCATAGGGCATGTATGCAGACAGCAAGAGAGCGTTTCTGCAGAACAGAGAGCCTGTCTCGCTCTTCTGCTTTTTTGCTTTTCTCAGACAACAGCTGAAATGTTCCTTTACGAACAGAAGCATAATGACCTGAAACTGACTCCTTGATGTCAAAAAATATTTATGGTCTCGACTTTGAGCCCTTGATATATAAACTAGGATGAGACTTGTCTCCAGTGACATCACAGGAAGGGAAGCTGATGCCAAGAGGAAAAGGAAGTGGCCCTGTTTGTCCCCCGGAGGCGGCAGTGCCGAGGAAAACAAACTTCCATAGGGGATGTTTCATATCAGTGTGTGATTGCTACACACGAACATGATATACAGGCATTTACTCTGGAACTGACTACAGGTCCAGCCAGGAAATATTCATCACCACCTTCACTGCTTTATCCCAATCAGGGTTGTAATGGAGCTGGAGCCTAACCAGGAATTACTGCTTAACAATAATATTATGTAGTATTATCAAATGATATTTCTTATATATTGTAAAAGACAGATCTTTTTAGAATGACTCTCTCAAACACAAACACACACAGACGCACACACTCGTTACAGTAACTGCCAAAGCATACCATACCACCTTTTCAAACCCTGCAAACACAGCATGTTCTGGAGAATGGAGCCGTGATGGAGCAGAGATAAAAGCACTAAATCTTTATTCAAACATTTGCTCCTTTGTCTCAACAAATGGCTGTGACTGGCACTGATTTAGGGAAAGGTCTCGTTTCCTTTCTTTTCCATTCAGTGGCCGTTCCGCTCTAAGCGGCTTTGCAATAATGCACTGTGTTGGTGATTTGTTAATGTTCATTTCCTGAGAGGGATTTGGGACTATTCACATAGGTATTCTTCCCCTGGATAAGATGTAGAAAGTGTGTGTGTGTGTGTGTGTGTGTGTGAGAGAGAGAGAGAGAGAGAGAGAGAGAGAGAGAGAATTGATGCATCACACAAAAGATGCAAATCATATATGGTGCGCACACACACACACACACACACACACACACATGTGCAGTGTCCGGAGACAGCCTCCATTGTGTGCTGATTTGCTTCAATCCTCATCTCCGGTCGCTATGGTCACGTGTCTCCACGGTAACAAGGTGCCAAATGCAGAGCTACACTCTCGTTACATTGCCTTCCTTTCCTCAAACACTTTTAATTATCTGCATTCTGTCCATATGGGAACAAAAAAAAGTTTCCCTCTGTCTTGTGCTCTTCTCAGGATTTTGCCGTGCTGAGTCTAACATCCTCTCAGTGGAAGTTTCCCTTTTATTTTTTCCTTGGTGGCTAAGGTTTCATCTGATGAGCTGCCAAAGAATTGGGCAAGATGACTGTGCTATAAAACATGTTTACACATTATCACCCTCAGGACAACACCCAAATCTGACACGTGTCCAGAAATATCATTATCTAGTTAGACTGAGTAACAGAGACAGCCATTAGCCTCTCAGTTTCTCTCTCTATCAGTCTGTATGGCTCTGAATCTTCAGTTTTGAATTTCGAATGCGTTTTCACCGACAGCTGTGTGCAGATGTTGGCAACCCCTACGGTTTCTGTGCAGAGAAAATGAAAATGTACCTCTGTCTACAATCATTAAAAACAAAACAACAACAACACAATGACAGCAACAACAAAAACAACAACAAAACCTCCAATTAGGTAAAAATTAAAACTGAAAAGCAATGAGAAAAGAATGGGAAATATCAACAGGAAAATAGTTTAAAAAACAAGAACTAAAAACAAAACTAAAACAAAACCAAAATAACCAAAAAAAAACCCCCCAAAAAAACGAAGAACTAAAAACAAAACTAAAACAAAACCAAAATAACCAAAAAAAAACCCCCCAAAAAAACGAAGAACGAATCCAGACATAATTTGGAGGAAAAAAATACAAAGAAATACCCAAACAAAAAAATTGGTGCTATGGATATTTAAAAAAAACTCCACTATTAATATATTGACAATGCCCATTTTTCTTACTAGTGATAAGAAAGAATGATAATGTGTGATAATGTGTGTTAAAAGTTCTTTGTCTTTTTCATTTTGTCTTACAGTTATGTGAACTAGTGCACTACAAAATGTGTGAAAGGGCCATAAATGCATGGCAGTAAGTGGTCAGAAATATGGCAAATGCAAGGACAATATGGCCTCTTCAAGCATGGGTACAAATGCTGAAAATCAACCAAATACAGAGAACATGGTGCTAAATAATAAATAATTAAACAATAATATACATATATACTTTGAAAATATTTGTATCAATGATATAAGTGTTTAAGTTTAAGTGAATAAGTGCATCCATGATATAATTTTTGTGTTCTTTGGCCAATATATCCAGGACTTCTGGTCTGTCCTCTGGCACTCATTCTGCTGTCTAGTCTATCATTTTGCCAGCTCGCATGTCAAGACATGCCGCCTGCAATCCATAATACACAGTACAGTTCTGTTATATGTGAAAGTGTCCTCTGTTGCACTACCTCTTCTCTCTTTTCTTCCTTGAGCCCTCTCCCTCCCTCACTTCCTTTCCTAATGCCTTGTTTTTGATTCGTTTTGCAGGTTATGGAACCTGAATGCCCGTGGCAGCTGAGCGAACACTTTTAAGGCATCGCTAATATCCTCTAAAAACTCCAAGGGATCACTAGTGGTTCCGGACTCTCATGAAATAAAAATACCCAGGAGCATAAGAGGTTAAGACAAACAAAATCCTCAACCCAGACCGGTTAGATAGAAGGATTGAGGCCTTAGATTAGAGTGCAGTAGAGTGCAGGTACAAGGCAGACAGTGGGCAGAGCTCCAAACATGTGCTTGGAGTTACCTTCCCCTTCAGATAGTTTTTTGCGTGCATGCATGTGTGGTGATTTTTCCAAGCCTGGAGTGGCAGGTGCCCTTCCTGCGTCCTTACTGTCTATGCAACAACAAGATAATGAGAGAGACAGTGAGAAAGGGTAAAAAAAAAGAGAGTGAGTGAGAGTACAAAAGAGACTGAGTGCTGGGAAAGGAGGTGGTGTAAAACTCCAAACTCCTGACCTTGTAGAGGCAGATGGCAAAATGTGAAATGGGACCTCTCTCTCTCTCTCTCTCTCTCACTCACACACACACACACACACACACACACACACACACACACACATACACACACAGCCACCAGGGGGCAGGACTAGAACTGAGC